CTTTCCTCGCAGCTTGAGTAAAGGCGCGGGGGTACATCAGAATTTATTCACCTGCACTTTTATTTGGTGACCATTCTTTGACCTGGATAAATCCCTTCCTATGATAATCTCCTTTTATAAATTTCCTTTTTTTCTTTTGGCATGGGTTTTTATTTCTTATTTCTTCGTTGTCTTCGCCAGGAGTTATAGATCGATAGAGTACGGTATGGTATAGATGGACACGTTGCGCATAGACCATTAATTCGTTTCTTTCTGTTTAAACAGGGTCATACTTACCATTGTTTTGTTTACACAGTATTTAATATTTCATTTCATATCTGAGAGTGTATATCAAATTTCATTTGTCATGCTGGATTGGAATATACCGGCGGACGTTTCCTATGGGGGTTTTTATTTTTACTTTTTTTATATTTTTTTATATAGTTAATCACGGTGATGTTGATATCGTTATAAACTTCTAAATAGTCGCTGATATCGCATCCTTCCAACATGACAACCTGAAGTCTATCGCCCAAGTGGCTCGTAAAGCCTGGCCATTTTTAAGCTAAACGGTTAACGGTCTGAAAGAGAATAAGTTACTATTGTATCATAGCAGCCAAGTTACCTACTCTTATACTGCCAAATACTCACGGAGTGGCCTTGACCGGTGTTTGCGAGAACTATCACAATATTGTAAGACTGAGCACGCCGTCATACTCATCAAAGCCAACTTCGAAATTCCGTAGATGCAAATAAGTTAACCCTAACCCTTTGCTATAAGTCCGAGCACCTGAGCGAGGAAACTCAAGGTATGGTATGACAACAGTCCCGGAACCGGCGGGGTGGGGAGATGGGGCAGGCGGTGGGGGTTGTCATAACTGCTATTTACAACAGAATCCGCTATCATTTATTAAGTTATCCTACGAGAGTACAGGAAATTCTGGTTAAGGTATGGAGAGATATATAGGGATGGGTATTACAGTCACACTACTTCCGGAAATAAAAAGTTTGTCCGAGAGAGGTAGTGGCCGTCCCGGCTTGGATGTGCGGTTGGGTATTGTCTAAGTTAAGTAGTAGATGTAGGAGGTATATCACACCCTAGTAAGTTGCGAATAGGCGAAGTAAGTGTTCATGTACGATCACACGTTAGGAAGTCATAAACGTAGTAATGTCAGCCGCCCTTGCAATCATATCACAGCAACCACGAAGGGGAAGAACACCGCTCTGTGCTGTACAGTACCGTATTAACTGGCTTAATTGGACCTCATGCTAGTATGTTGGAATAAGGTGAGGCGTTCGGAAATTACTTGACTTAAAAAAGAAAATTAAAACACTGTCTTGGGATACGAGATGAATGCTTAAGCTGACAATTCCCAACCTCACCTCAAGTTGAACTAAACAAAAATGTGTAAATAAGACGAAGTAGTTCCTGTATTCATTCAATTCACTCCCAATTATACCAACCACTCCACTTGATTGTGACCAACGTAGGACAAATTTAGGACAATGCGAGGATCAGCTGGACAAGCTGGTCGGAACCGATTCAAACCAATTTTACCACCTTTACTGGCAGAAAGGGTTTATGCCGGTGTAAAAAAGAAGCCTGGTCCGAAACGAAAGCAACTTACCACTTGGGCAGTGGGAGAGGCATGGGAAAGATTTTCAAGGGAGCGAATTGAAGTTGTGAAAAAAGCATTCTGAATTCTGGGCTTATCACTTCCAATCAATGGAAGCTGCAACCAAGAAATCTCAGTCAAGGGAATAGACCATGGTTTTTTGGTGGAAGGACTAAAGGATTGGCATATAGGAGGAATTCAGAAGGAGCTGGAGGAGGATGGTGAATTAGATGAGTCTGTAGATGAGTTAGATGTGTTCTATGAAGAAAGTTAGCAATGTGAAATTGATATTACATGATGAATTGCGCAATTTCCTTGGCACGCCTCACCTTATTTCAACATACTAGCGTGAGGTCCAATTGAGCCAGTTAATACGGTACTGTGAGGGTCAAAATCCGGCTGCGTATTTTTAGCGCTTTGATAGCTATTTTTACATGATTCAAATGACTGTTGGTGATTGTGTTTTGTTGAGCTAGAAGATTGGGAGATTGCATAACCTTTTGTACATAAACTTTGGATGTATGGTTGTTGGGTAACTAGTTAGCAAATTGTATGATGAAAGAGCTATGTGAGGTGATGGAAAAGGCGGAAAGGGCGGAAAAGCGGAAGAAAATGGGACAAAAGGAAGCTTCGGAAGAAAGAATTATCGGAAGACAATGGGATAGTCGGTTTTGGAGGATTTCAACATAAATAGTTGGGAAATCAGGATAGATTGGAAGGAGAACGGAGGATAGAAGAGATTGGTTTTTCCTTTTAGGTTTTTCTTTTGGTATTATACTTGTAGATTTTCTACATGAGATTGGTTGAATTGATTACGATTTTGTTTTCCTTTTACATTGAGAGAGCATCTACTGTGTGTGTCTTGTTTGTTTGTTGTTCCTACGATTTTTGATAGGTTTGACTATTCCTTCCTTTCTTCCTTTTCCAGTTTTTCAGTACAGCATAGTACTGAAAAAACAAATCTCGACGGGTCAGGTTCAGAGCACCAAATGAAAAACAGGAAATGGAAGAAAGGAAAGAATAGTCAAGCCTATCAAAAAAATCGTAGGAACAACAAACAAACAAGACACACACAGTAGATGCTCTCTCAATGTAAAAGGAAAACAAAATAGAAATCAATTCAACCAATCTCATGTAGAAAATCTATAACAAGTACTAAAAGAAAAAACCTAAAAAAGAAAACCAATCTCTTCTATCCTCCGCTCTCCTTCCAATCTATCCTGATTTCCCAACTATTTATGTTGAAATCCTCCAAAACCAACTAGTTACCCAACAACCATACATCCAAAGTTTATGTACAAAAGGTTATGCAATCTCCCAATCTTCTAGCTCAACAAAACACAATCACTAACAGTCATTTGGATCATATAAAAATAGCTATCAAAGCACTAAAAATACGCAGCCGGATTTTGACCCTCACAGTACGGCACAGTAAAACTAAAACTTTTCTCACTAGGTAGCAAGCGCCCACTACCGCATCATACTCAACAATTCGAGTATTGCAAAGTAACAAGATATCATACTCTACCCCCCCCCCCCAAAAAAGAAGAAAAAAAGAAAAAAAAAACCCCCTCCCTCTATCTATCTATCTACCGGTATCCAACCTCCAGGCACTCCAAGTAAACCCTACTACCCCCCCCGGCTCAGACAGGCAGAAATACAGTTTGGTAGGGTTTTCCTTTCCATGTGAGTTGCTTGGAAGATATCACACGGTGGTAGATTATGAACATAAATTCTGGACTTGGTATATTGCGGTGGGGATTTTTCTTTCTTTTTTTGACGGGAGGTTTTCCTGTGGAGGGGAAAAGAGAAAGCAAAAAAAATTGGAAAATAGAAAATGGAAAATGGGGAGTGGGGGTTGGAATACTGTCGGTGGTAGGGGTTGGCTGTGGGGTTATTTAGGGTGCCTCTGGTTGCAACCTGAAACCTTCGTTTTGACCCTGATTATTATACGGGAGATGTTTGTATGATAGCAAACCTTCATTTTTGCCTTGGAGTGGGGGGTCTGGTTGAAGCCAAACTCATTAATCAAAGTTTCAATAACGGGGTCAAAATGGTTTCTGAAAAACTGCTGTGGCCTATTTTCCCGAACTCACGTTTCCGAACAGTGTACAATACTAAGTGCTCGGAGGCTACTCGAGATCTAAAGGGTTATTGATAAGTGAAGCGGGATAAGAACTTTCTTCCCAATGGAAAAGGAAGAAAAAAAAGAACATAAAAATTTAATAGAAGCAATATTTACTTATGCTGTGTAACATATAGTGAAGGATTTACAACCGCATCTGCAGTGAAATCGTAATTAAGGACATCATCTATCCACATTCATGTACAAACTCCCGCGTATTAAGCAAAAAACCCCCCACTCAACAAAAAGAAAAGTGAGAATCTATGAGATGGAAAAAATATGACAAAAAAGCTATCGTACATGGAAGCATTCGCCATATGCCATACTCCTACCAGCCTTCCCATCAGGAATGTAAAAAAATAAGATAAAAACAAATATTAGAAAAAAGAAGGAACCACATCAGTGATGGGAAATAACTTAGCCCTTAGGATATCAAGAAGAGTAAAAACCGGCAACTAACTTTCATGGAGCATATGTGGATATCAATTCTTGTTGATCATGGCAGTCGAAGAATGAGATATGTACGTTGACAAGAGAAATATACAGTGTAATGAAGTGAGAGAGCCGAATGATGAGGACAATGTGTGCAATCAAGGATATTAGGATGAACGGAAATTTGTGCGTTTAGAAGTCCGGTGAATCGCTGGGAGAGAACGTTTCTTTGACTGTGGAGGTGTAACTATGGCGGGTTCAGGCGCAATGTCGGAGTGGGTGGTGAGTGTGAGAATGGGTGCTGGACAGGGTGCTGTAAGTGGATTCGACGTGGGCACGTCAGAGTGTGGGAGTGGAAAGTCTTCGGAGGTCTTGCGGATGGTGGCTAGAATATCGCCCCCACCCTGGGATACTAGATTTATTTCTGCCTCGTGAGGAGTGGTGACCGGAAGGTTGAGGGCAGGTTGTGAATGTTGGCTGGGTGGAGATGGGTCCGGAATAGGTTGTTCCGGCCGTAACACTTGATTTACCGCACCATCAAGCGTATTGGGCTGGGGAAAGGACGGCGATGTTTGGGGATCATTGGGGAACGCATCGGGGTTGATAGTCCGCCGTTGCAGGAGTAGGTTCACGGTGTTCGGATACCCTATCGTGGCAGCATATGATAGTGGTGTCTGGCCACCTCTATCCGACGAATCAGGATTGACGCCCTCACGGCCCAAGAGTAGCTTCACCACACCCTCTTTCCCATACTCGGCAGCATATGACAGTGGTGTTTGGCCATACCTATCAGACGAATCAGGATTGACACTATCCCGATCCAAGAGCAACTTTACCACGTCTTCTTTCCCAGACTCGGCTGCGTGTGATAGTGGTGTTCGGCCACACATATCCGACGAATTGGGATATACACCCTCCCGATCCAAGAGCAACTTTACCACGTCTTCTTTCCCAAACTGGGCTGCATATGATAGTGGTGTCCGGCCATTCCTATCCGGCGAGTTGGGGTTGACGCCCTCCCGGTTCAAGAGCAATTTTACCACGTCTTCTTTGCCATATACAGCAGCATATGATAGTGGTGTCCAGCCATTCACATCTGATGATTCGGGATTGAAATCCTCTTGGGCCAACAGTAGCTTCACGACTTCCAGGGACCCAACCATGACAGCATGTATGAGTGCTGTTCGGCCATGTCTATCTGTGAGATCGGGATTGACATCCCCGCGCTCAAGAAGCAACTTCGCGAGTGGACAATTTCCGTATTTTGCAGCCCACATTAACGGTGTCGCGCCTTTGGAATCACGCCCGTTCAAGTCCCATCTCTCCATGCTCACCATGGTAATCTCAATTCCGGGAACCCCCATGTATGCGATGCAGTGTAGGCCACTATATCCCTCAGGATCGGGATCATGTCTACCCGGCCGCCGATCCCAGAAAGACAAGAATCCAACACTTCCCTCACGGAGGAGAATATTAGCTGATATGTGGTTTGCATCCTTTTGAAGAAGTCGCAATGCCAGGGATTTCACGCCCTCTGTCATTTCCTTCCTAGCGTGGAGTCCCCAGTAACACGATGCATAGTGGAGAAACGGTGAGGTGGTCGGGATCTCACGAAGAGTGGGTGAAAGATCGCAGACGGACTGAAAGTTTAAATAAGTGAGACATATCTCAGCCATCATTGAGTGAGGTGTGATGAACATGTCGGTATGTGTTCCAAGGTACTCTTGGAGAGTAAAATGGATGAGACGGACCGATGATTGCTGATCAATTGTAACAAGGCCTAAAGTGCAGCCCAACAATGTCTTGATCGACGGGACATTCTCCGGGTCGATGTCCGTAGTTCCTAACTCCACCGCTAAAGCATGACACAGCTCTTGTGTTTCTAATGGCCGTTCGGAGCGTGAGATCCACATCAGTGTTTCCATTCCCAGTTTTGCTTTACTTCCATTCTGCTGTTGTATACGATGTAATGTCGTGCTGTATGCATCCTGTAGACCAAGCCCTTTTGTCATCTTATGAAGCGTCTGTCTCCTCTGATGTATCGTCGTCTGATCTAAGATGGCATCAACAATGAGGGAGACTAAAAGGAATCTATATCGCAACATTAGCCCGGAACCCGGAATCCAAGATAGAAAGATAGTTTCATACATTCCCGAAATAGTCGCCGGAATAACTCTTAGCATATCTGCTCGTAGCGATTCGTCCATGATATCCGGGTCTGGGTCCCTACTTAGTCTCATTTCCAGATATCGCTCGATGTCCCCCGTCCTGGGTATAATAGGGATCACAGTAGCCTCTCCGTCGAAACATCGCTTAACTTCGTCCCGGATGTGGGGCCTCCCGGTAATGAATAGCCGAGTATTTGGGCACTCCCGGATAATCTGCTGTAAAGAATCCCAAAGCTCAGGCCGTTTCTTTTGCGGAAACTCGTCTAAAGCGTCAATGCAGATAAAGCCTCGTCGCAACGATGATAGAGATTTCACCAGCATCGCGCGGATTTCAGGGAGCCGCAGCATGCGGCCAGCAACCTGGCTCTTCGCACGCTCAAAAGCACTCTGTATCTCGTTTGGGATTGGTTCCATCCCCGCCACGACCTGCATCAACAGGGCTCCTAACACGGTTGTTGCAGACTGCTCATTCGGAGCATGGAAGTCGCAGTACACACAAGCGACAGCCACATCTTCCCCGACAACCTGATCGCACAGTGTATCTATCACAAGAGAGCTGGTGTTCACGCTTTGAGTCTTGTGTTCAAGTGCAATAGGGTTAGGGTAATATTACACACCTCATATGGGTCTTCCCCACCCCTGGGTCCCCATAACAAAATAACACAGGATCGACATCTTGATCCTCGCTTGTATGCCACTTCTTAAACTTGTTTGTTTGAAGAAGCCAGTCCCCTACTCCATCCACCCTGCCATCACTCACAGTGTGATGCCTTTCCCGAGGTGCCAAGGGAGAGATCCATTCCAGAATCTGTCGCTTGTCATCCGAAATGGATATCTCGCAGTTATTCCACACATTCTTATAGCTGTCCGTGACATTGCCGCAGTTGTTGTTGATCGTAACTCGTGGGTTTCGATGTGCTGTCGGGTTCATCTTCTGTAGAGTATCTTTTTATCGCGAATGTTTATTGTTGCGGTCGGGTTTGTTGGGCGGTTGACAGTGTTGTAGGCGGGAAAGAGCAGAAAGGAGATGACCTGGCTCAGCCTCACATGCATTCAGCCCCGGGTTTGACCAAAGGCTTTGTTACCTGCGCGACATGTTGCGGCTCTTTTGAGCAAACCCTAACCCTGATCCATTACGCTAACCCCCCGAAACACAAACATGGTGTTAAAGAGCGAAGCCTTACATGAGGTGGATAGACACTTGCTCGCAATCGCTATACTCAAACCCAACGCCAATTGTGGAACCCTCTGCCATCCCCCAGACTACCCCTATTAGACCAAGCGTACTCGGTTTCCCACAAAATGGACATCCCCGCCTTCGCCGAGAGGCAAACAGAACTCCTCCAAGCCGAACGCAATGCAGACATAACCCTCCAGACAGCACTCCTCTCAACCCTCCCACCATCTGCGCTCCTTCGCCACGGCCTGGCATTAACAAACCTCCTCCCAACCTCCCAACGCACCGGCTTCGGCGGCCGTACAATCATTGACCTCGAACCCGACCCTGCAATTTTCCCCACAGGCCTCCTCCCCCCTCATGGAATCCGCCAAGGCGACATAGTCCGTGTGGAAGCACAGCCAGGTGGTTCATCTAGCAAGAAGGAGAAAACCGACGCCAAGGCTTCTGGGGTAGAGGGTGTTGTGCATAGGGTTTTTGAAGGGAAGGTTGCAGTTGCCGTGGAGGCTGCAGGGGATGAGGTGGATAGGGTTTGGACTGGGAAGAGGTTGTGGATTGTTAAGGTTGCGAACGAAGTTACGTTTAAGAGGATGGAGAAGGCGATGGGTTTTTTGAAAACTGCGGGGGAGAAGGGTGATACCACGGGGTTGGTGGATGTTTTGTTTGGGAGGAGGGCGCCAAGGGAGGTTGCGGTGGAGTATGAGAAGATGGAGGTCAAGTGGTTTGATGAGGGGTTGAATGATAGTCAGAAGCAGGCTGTTAGGTTTGCCCTTGCGAGCGAGGAGGTTGGTGGGTTCTTGTTTTTCTTTTCAAGATGATGAGTGGGCGGTTGCTCACTATGTTCTTGGTGCAGCGTTGATACATGGACCTCCGGGAACTGGAAAGACACAAACACTACTGGAAATCATCCTTCAACTAGTCACTCCTCCGGCATCAATTTCGTCTACCCCTCCGACTCCCAAGAAGATATTAGTATGTGGACCGTCAAATATATCAGTTGACAACATTGTCCTCCGACTCCCATCGTCCCTCCCAATTATCCGCATGGGCCACCCTGCCCGCCTTCTCCCAAAGGTTATAGAGCGTAGTCTGGATAACTTAACACGGACCTCCGAACAAGGTGAGATAATCACCGACGTGCGTAAAGAAATGGACGACCTCCTATCCAAGCTCAAAGGTACCGGAAAGACGCGAATGAAAGGCCGCGCTCGAAAAGAAGGCTGGGATACCGTCCGGCACCTTCGGGGGGAATATCGCGAGCGGGAAAAGAAGTCTGTTGATGAGATTGTCAAAGGGAGTAAAGTGTGTACTCCAATAATGCTCGAGTGACTGAGCATGGACTAATGGTGCCTAGGTCGTACTAGCAACTCTCCACGGAGCCGGTAGTAAACAGCTTTGGAGCGAGAAATTCGACATAGTAATCATCGACGAAGGCTCACAAGCCCTCGAGGCACAGTGTTGGATTCCATTACTATTAACAAACAAATCCGGAATTCAGAAACTAATCCTAGCCGGAGATCCCATGCAACTCCCACCAACGATAAAGTCACAGACAAAAGGCTCCATACCAAAGCCCCCAAAGACAAAAACCGAAATACCAGATTCGCTAGAAATCACGCTGTTCTCAAGATTACTAGCGATACACGGCGAAGGGATAAAACGCCTACTAACCACACAATACAGAATGCACGCGACAATCATGCATTTTCCCAGCCAAGAACTCTACAACGGCTCTCTGATCGCCGCGCCTTCGGTGGCGGATAGGTTACTGTGCACATCACTCCCATATCCCGTGAGCAAAACCGAAGACACTTCCATTCCGCTATTATTCGTAGACACCCAAGGCGGATTCTTCCCCGAAGACCCATCCCCGCCCACCCCGAGCGCCAAATCCCCAACCTCGAAGTCCAAATCCCCAACCTCGGAGTCCAAATCCAACACACTTGAAGCGCGCCTCGTAGCAACACACATCCACGCGCTCATCACCGCCGGCGTGCGCGCGGAAGATATAGGCGTGCTAACACCGTACTCCGCACAAGTCTCGCTTATCACGAAATTGCTCCGAGGAACGTACCCGGCGGTTGAAGTTAATACCGTAGACTCATTCCAGGGACGGGAGAAGGAGGCTGTGGTGTTTTCGCTTGTGAGGAGTAACGATGAGAGGGAGGTGGGGTTTTTGAAGGATGAGAGGAGGGTGAACGTTGCCATTACCAGGCCTCGGTGTCATTTGTGTATTGTTGGTGACGCGGAGACGGTCGGGCGGGGGGGTAAAGGCGGGTTTTTGGGGAGGTGGATTGGGTGGTTGGAGAGTGCTGAGGGGGTGGAGGTCAGGTATGCGGATGTGGGGGAGGTGTTGGCGGGGTGGGCGGGAGAGATTGAAATTAATGGGGAGGATTAATAGCAGGTGGTTGTTATGAACAGGGCCTGCGGAGGACTAAATACCATTCATTGAATCCGATTAATAGTGGGGCAGATATTATCCTAGCGTGATACATACTGTATTCGCCATTGAGTTTTGTCACAAACATGCTCGAGCACTCGAACGGGATGGTTGTCGCAATGGAGTTTGGGTGGCAACCAGACGCGCCTTGAATTATCGGTATTCTAGTTTTCATCGTAGAATACAGTATTGTGGGGCACATAAGTAGCCACGACATAGATTGTGACCAAAGTGAACGGGCTACTTATGGGATGCTATGTAAATTGACGGTATAAAGCCACCTTTTTCCCATACTGTACCGTATCTGATCAATAATCACGCCCTTCTGCCACCTCACAAGCTCAGTGTTCCTCAGTATGGTACGATATCTCACATTTCCTCGGCGTGGAAATGATGGCCCGTGGGTGTCCGAAACCACAACACTCCCTCATTCCCCGCATCAGTCCAGCCCCGGGTTACTGCTTGTCAACCAAATACCCAGGAGTACAGTACTGTAATCGCAAGCTATTTACAACATTACCGCGACCATGGACGGACTTGAGATAATCATGGGCAGCTTCAACATTTCCAACAGTTTCAACACAGCCCCTAGCGACCAGAGATCGAATATACCGAAATGGCTATCACTTCTAGAATCGAAGTATCGACACCAGGACTTGTGAGAAAGTCGCCTACATGGAGTAGGTGATTGGGTAATAGAAAATGAGAAGTTTACAACGTGGGGGGGGGGGGGATTTGACAGCCCGGATATCCGGGTGCTATTCTGTTACGGAGATCCGGGGGTGGGCAAGACTCATTTAGCGTGGGATAAACACTGTCTGTGCTGGGAGAGGTTTACGCATGGGGCTAATACTCGCCATTTTTGATAGTTGTCGGGTCATAGACGACCTGTGCGTTCTGTTTAAGATTAAGAAAGAGAATGTCATAGTCGCTAGCCTATATTGTGACTTCCCGAACCATAAGGAACAGTCTACAGCCAGTATGATCGGAAGTGTTCTCAGACAAGTCGTGTCTAGTTCGAAAGGATCCCAGAATCGATAGAGCAAGCCTTCCAGGCGTCCCAAAAACACATTGATGGTCTCGGCCTTACACTTCCGGAGATGCTCAAAATGCTTCAAACAGCCCTTTCGTCCTATGAACGGATATATATCTGTGTTGCCGCTTTGGACGAATTTCCTGCATCACGTCGAGCAGACTTTCTTCGCGCGTTGGGATAAATTGTCCGGGACTGCCCGGGCGTTCGGCTCTTTCTTACGGGTAGGCCGCATGTGTGCGAGGAAATCGAGCGTCAGTTTAACGAGGGGTTGTACATGATGGTTATAAAAGCAGTGAAGGAAGATATCAAGACGTATCTCACATGGAAGATCGACACGGATATTGATCGTGATGCGATGAATAACGAACTCAAGGATAAGATAATGAGGCGTATCCCTGACACTATGTCTGAGATGTAAGTGATGACAGTGTTTCAATTTGGTGGCTGGCTCTGGACTATTACTAACATCTTTTGTCTAGCTTCTTGTTAGTTTGGCTCAACATTGACGCAATACTCGCGGAGCCGATCCACCGGAGGAGAGAGAAGCTAAACCAGATGATCGATGGGTTTAGTCTCGGGGGCGCCTACGACTCGACCTTAGAGCGGATCCAAAAACTCAGTGGGTCAAAATTAAAGCTTGCCATAACGGCGCTTATCTGGGTTTGTCACTCGGAGAGGCCACCACCTATAGATGAGCTCAGATATATGCTCGGGGTGGAAATAGGCTCCTTGGATATCAATCTCGATGATATTCCTTCAACCCGAACACTCTTGGGATGTTGCCTCGGACTGGTTACTACGGGCAAAAACTCCAAACTCCGACTTATCCATTTTACCCTTCAGGGATATCTCTCCACTCACCCCCTTTTGGCCGGAGCCCATTCGAGAATCGCCGAAATCACGTTGACGTATCTGAACTATCGCTTTGTCCATGACTTTGCCACGGGCGAGTCCGCGTGTATTGACCTAACCCTTTCCCCATTCCTCAGGTATGCTTCGCGGCATTGCGGGGACCACCTGCGGAAGGGGAGCAGCAGCTTTGCAAAGTTACTCGCACTAAGACTCCTCCCATCCTTTGATATTCACATATCTGCGACGATCCTACTACTGGATGATCCCTGGCTGCGATATAGGGTAAAGGTAGAATTTCCCGACGGGTTTACCGGACTTCACTGCGTGGGATTCTTAGGTCTTGATGAACTCACGACGGCCTTGGGGGGGGGGGGGGGGGGGGGGGGGGGGGGGCGGCGAGGGTATGAGTGGGCGGGGCTTCT